GTTTGGGAGTTCTCGCTGTAGGAGCAACTCCAGAAGTGCACATGGATCCAGCAGCAGGGTGGGGAGGCTGCAGCAATTCTGGCAGTCCCTGGTGCCTGATGACTTCAGCCAGGAGAGTGCTCTGCTCAGGAGTCTGGTTGGGGGGCGCAGCACAGAGGCTGAGAGGGTGTGGGGAAATGGGGAGTGATGACAGTAGAGCACCGGCTCTGGTAGTCTCAGGCGGGCTGGACATAGGGAGCACAACCCAAGGATTGCCAGTTCTGGCAGTCACAGGCGGACTGGCCAGTCCTGGGGAGCTCAGCCTGAGGCGCCTCAGCTCTGGTGGTCACTGGCAGGCCAGCCAGGCACCGGAAGCTCAGCTCGGGAAGAGTACTCGCTCTGGCAGTCACAGACAGGCTGCGGGGGTGGGGGGGTGGGGGGGTCTGTGAGGGGGTGGTGTTAACAGCTCTGGCAGTCATAGGCTACCAGCTGGTTGTGGGAAGCGTAGCCCAAGGCATGCCAGCTCTGGTGGTCACTGGTGGGCCAGCCAGGTGCCAGGAGCTCAGCCCTGGGAGTGCTGACTCCAGCAGTAACAGATGGGCCACGGGGGGGGGGCACTCCTATGGTCACAGGTGGGCCAGTGGTCACTGGGGCCAGGCAGGGTGAGGGGCCGGGCATGGGGAGCTCTGGCAGTCACAGGCAGGCCGGCAGCAGGGCACTTGGTCCTGCCGGGGTCAGGGACTAGGCTCTTGAGCCTTCTCTCACAGTCTATGAAGGCAAGGGGGGAGGGGTGGACTGGGAGTTCAGAATGGCAGTGAAAAGTTTAGTTCAATTTTTCTGCCTGGGAGAGAATGTTTGGAGTCTCATCAGGATTCCTCTAGGGAAGTAGACCCCACTTTCTATAGCTCTCACACATGGGGTGAGACAATAGGTCCTCAGTTCACTGCTCACCTGTAGAAAACTTGTAGAAATTGGCTTCCTTTGAGTCGCAGCCTGCTTCAGCAGAGGTGACCTGCAGATATCACTCTTCTCCCTCAGCTCGGCTCCCAATCTTCAGCTTAATTCAGTATTTTCTGGACTTTATCCTTCCTTCTGGACAGGAGCTTCTGTCAGAGGCTGACTCCAGTCCACCATCTTGCCCATCCCTATGTTCAATAAATCTTGAGAGCATTTACTATGATGGTAGACCATTGTGCTGGTTATTATGGAAAATGAATCTGAATATTTCCTGGAAAGCTGGTCTAGTTATGGGAAATTTCCTCAACATCTAGATGTCAGTAAAGTATTTGATTTCTCCATCACAAATGAAACTCAGTTTAGCTAGATACAGGATCCTGGGCTGAAAGTTGTTTTGTTTTAGAAGGTTGAAGATTTATGACCATCCTCTTGTGGCTTGAAAAGTTTCAACTGAAAGATCTGCAGCCATCCTAATATTTCTCCCTTTGTAGGTAATGCTTTTATTATGCCTGGCTGCTTGGCGGAGTTTTTTCCTTTATATTAACTTTGGCAAAGTTAATTACACTGTGTCTAGAAGATGCTTTGTTTGGATTCAGTCATGCTGGGGCTCTGAAACTCCCTACTATTTGAATTTGTGTATTTCTTGTAATGCTTGGGAAATTCTCCTCCATAATATCTTGGAATAGAGCATCTGTGCCTTTAAGACTATCCTCTTCGCCTTCAGGAATCCCTATAATTCAGATGTTTGATCTTTTGGAATAATCCCATAACTTAGAGAATGTTCTGTTCTTGTTTTCCATTTTTCTGCCTCTGAATGCTTGAAATTATTTAAAATCTTTATCTTCAATTTCTGAGATACTTTCTTCTGCCTGCTCAACTCTATTACTGAGGGCCTCTACTGTATTTCAAAGCTCCTTGAATAACTTTTTCACTTCCTTAAGCTTTGCTTTATCTTTTCTCATTATGTCCATATCCTTAGTGACTTTGTCTTTGAATTTGTTAATTTCTGGAAACAAATTTTGAAGTACTCTTTAGATTTCTCTTTCCATGTTTTCCTTAATTCTATTCATCTTATTTGACATCCATATTCTGAATTTGATTTCTAACATTTCAGCCATTTTTCTATGAATGGAATCTTCTGTTGTTTTTCCTTTGTCATCCCTTTGGGGAGTTGATCTACTCTGATTACTCATGTTGCCAGAGTTCTTCCACTGGTTCCTTCCCATGAGTATTTTCTGCAATTTGGCAGTTAAAACTGATAGGGTGAGATTGGACTGGGGGCCCCAGACACTGGAGCTAACCAGCCCTTACCAATGAGCTAAGGCTTGTGATTGTGGCTTTTCCCCTACAGCCTTGCAAAGGTCCCTTTCAGAGCTGCAGACAGAGACTCCGAGGACCTGCTTGGTGAGATAACTCAAGCTGGCTCTGTCTCAAAGTCAGCCAGCCTCTCCCCAGTCCCAGTGAGTCAATGTATTAGGCCAAAATCTTAGCTGGGGAAAGATACAGGTCCTGTGGCACCCCCAATCTCCACCAGTGACAGCTGGAGGAGAAGAATCTATCCCTTTCCACTACAAAACGACTGTCATTCAACCTCTGAGTGTCCCAGATGGTCATCCAGGTCAAAAGTTCTAATAAAATTGTCCCAGGCAGTACAATCATTGCTCACAAAGAAGAGTTCAAATGGTTTCAAGGGGCCAGACAGTAGGAATTCACAGGCACTTCTGTCTGGCAAACTCAAGGGGCTGCAGCCTGGTCTCCTCCAGGGAGTAAGGGAGTCAGGAAAGTTTACCCACCAAAGTCAGAACAGGGACATCAGTGCCTCTGCCCCCAGTGCACACCAACACCAGGTGTCCCTCTCACCTTCACCACCCTTCTCTCCCAGAGCATCCCTCTTTCCCCTCACCCCACTGTTTCCACATGAGTCACTGTTTCCATGCTGCTGTCCAGTGGATTACAAAATGCCCAGGATTCTCAGGGACTTGCCAAACACTCAAAACTCTTTAGGGGTCAGAACTTCAGACCACCAGGAGAGGGAGAAGGTTGGACTGTGTGTTCAGAATTATAGGGAAAATATTTGCTCACTTTTATGCCAGGCAGGATGATGTGTATGCTCACAGGTGGGACCTCCCTGGAGAAGGAGGACTGGGGTTTAGTGGCTCCTTTGCTCCATGCTGGCTTGCAGAGAGCCCACAATGGGTCTCTGGCTTGGGGAAGGGGTGTCCCATCTTCTTGATGATGGGCTTCCTACTTGGAATTTGTTTTCTTGGATCCTCTTTCTTGGAGTCTCAGCTTGCCTCAGCAGAGATGATTTGCACTTGTCTATCTTCTATCTATGCTCAGGTCCCCACTTTCAGCTTCACTAAGTCTACTTCTGTCCAGTATGTCTCCCTCTGGACAGGAGCCTCTGGTGAAAGCTGCCTTTAGTTGGTCACTGTCCAAGAATTCTCTTCCCCAATTATGTTTTAGGAACATATATGTTGATTGGTTCTAACTCATATTGTAAGTTCTTCTAGTAACAAACATTAATTCAACTTTGATTCTTCATTCCTGTTCAGAATCCTGAGACATTCTGGGAAGTTGCCAGCATCTTGCCGAGACCACATACATGTAAGCACATCCCACATGTGGCATCATTAAAACCTTAGGAACAACCCATACACAGCAGAGGCTAACATTTAGTGTGTAAGCACCCTTCCTCATCCTTTAGGTGAGCGGTCTTCATCCTTTTTGGTGCAAGGAACTGTTTTCCTAGAAGGCAATTTTTCCACAGACTGGGATTGATGGGTGATATTGGGAATTCAGGCATATCATATTCATTGTGAACTTTATTTCTATTATTACTACATTGTAATATATAATTAAATAATTGTATAACTCGCCATAGTTCAAAATCAGTGGAACCTTGAACTTGTTTTCCTGTAACTTGACAGCTCCATCTAGGGGCAATGGGAGAAAGTGACAACCAAGGGGTGTTGCTTATGTCCTCAGCTCCATATCAGATCTTTAAGCTTTAAATATTTAAGTTTAAGACACAGAAAAATAAAAATTGTAGAAGAGAGTGTGGGAAAAATGCTTGAAAATATTGACCTGGGAAAATATTTTATGAAGAAGCCCCTTTGGCAATTGCAGCAACACCAAAAATAAATAAATGGCATTTGATAAAGCTAAAAAGCTTTTGCAAAGCTAAGGGTACCACAAACAAAGCAAACATCCTGCAGAATAGGAGAAAATTTTTGCATGTCATGAATCTGACACAGGGCTGAATCTACAGAGAACTCAAGTTAACCAACAAGAAAAGAGCAAACAACCTCATTTCAAACTGGGAAAGACACTTGAACAGAAATGTCTTTGACAATGACAGATGAATGGCCAACAAACACATGAAAAATGTTCATCATCTCTAATCATGAGAGACTCTGAGATATCACCTAATTCTAGTGAGATTAGCCCACATTGCAAAGTACCAAATCTGCAGATGCTGGCATGAATGTAGAAAGGAGGGAACACTTCTACATAGCAGGTGGGATTGTGAACTAATACAGTCTTTATGAAGAGATGTCTGGAGAATTCTCAAAGAACTAAAAGTCAACCTTCCATTTGATTCTGCAATCTCATTACTAGATATCTACCCTGAAGAACAAAAATCATTTCACTACAAAAACATTTACATTTCTTCTTAGGATATACTCAGTCGTAACTGTTGTTCATGCTTTTCTCGGGGTAAGCTGGTGTTGAAGATGTCTGCAGTCTAAAGATTGGAAGATATAATGATATTAAGTAGTGGCAGAGAACAACTCTCATAAAATTTGAATAAAATTTTAAAAGTATTTTCAGCAGATTATGTGAAACAATTTGTGTTCTCAATTATAAATTTAATCTTATTAAAGTCAATGTATGATAGGCCTCTGATTTACCATTTGACATATGAAAATCCACCCCTCAATTCACTAAAAAGTTACACGCTAGCTAATGTTATATGGACAATATCAAAATACTCAATGTCCTTTTTATTATTATGTCCATGCAATATTAATATACTGAATTCTTTAGTATAACCAGTGTCATTAAGAAAATATTTTTCTTCTAAACTGTCTCTTCAGAGCCTCCTTGATCTCCTTGTTCCTGAGACTATAGATAAGGGGGTTCAACATGGGGATCACCACCGTATAAAACACCGACACTACCTTGTTCTGGTCAGTTGAATAGCTGGACTTGGGCATCACATAGATGAATGTGATGGTCCCATAGAACAGAGTGACTGCAGTGAGGTGGGAGGTGCAGGTGGAGAAGGCCTTGTGTTGCCCCTCCCTGGAGCGCATCTTCAGGATGGTGATGAGGATGTAGATGTAGGAGACGGCTATGACGAACACAGTGACCACAATGATAGAGCCAGAGGAAATGGCTGGAATTATTTCAGAAGTAAAATCATGAGAACAAGAAAGCTTCAAAAGTGGTGAATAGTCACAAAAAAAATGATTGACTTTATTTGGCCCACAGAAGGTCAGGTTTAACAAGCAGCCAATGAATGTCCAAGCATTCACACATCCCCCCAGATAGGAAGCTCCCACTAAAATGATGCAGAATCTGGGGGACATGTGGGTGGAGTAAAGGAGAGGAGAGCAGATGGCCACATAGCGATCATAGGCCATGGCAGCCAGCAGGAAGCACTCAGCTGTCCCAAATGTCACCACAGAACAGAGCTGAGCCACACAGCCAATAGCAGGGAGAAAGGCTCCTTTCCTGAGAAAACCCACAAGCATGACAGGTGTGACTGAAGAGGAGTATCCGATGTCTACAAAGGCCAAATGGCAGAGGAAAAGGTACATGGGTGCATGAAGATGAGGACTTCTTCTGATTAACATGATTATGCTGACATTACCCATTAAGGTGACAACATAGATTCCTAGAAACACAATAAATAAAATGACACAAAGTGTAGTATCCCCTGTTAACCCCAAAATAATGAATTCTGTCACAGCTGTGTAGTTTGTAGTCCCCATCTGTATTGGGAATGGTGCCCACTGAAATAAAAAAACACATGGATATTAGAATGGAATTAAATACTATAATATGGATATTTATGTTTACAATAGTTAAATAATAAAAAATATACTAATAGAGACACTCATGTATAAACTCATATCATGTGGTTAGTTTAGCTGTTCTAAGAGGAATAGTTTCTCCCAAGGACGTATCTCAGGGTTGACCACTAGGTTATATGAATCAGTAACTGAATCTTCTTAGGCCTTTAGCATAATTGAAACAAGGCAGAAATGTGAGAACAGGCTCAGACCTATAGAAAAGAGTAGCAGCTCAAAAGGATATCTGAGGTACCACATCTCGTATGAGAGAAGATGTTCAGCCACTAGGAATTCCGAATCCAAAGCAGAAGTCAAACATATTAGTTGCATGCTAAAACAGAGGACCACGAAGAGGTCAATAGCTTAGTAGTGGGTTGTGGTTCCAACTCTAAGTTCTCACAATTGGGGAAAAGTAAAACTATTATCCAGAAAGTATAGACAGAGGCAGGAAGTAGGGTAACATGCTCAGATCATGGACAAGTAGACTGAGGTTTTAAAGCAGAGATGAGATTATAGTGAGCCAATCCAGGAAAGACACATTAATCAGGTTACTTCTAGAAACTTCCACAAGACCCTGAGACTGTGCTGAAGTTTGGGCTGTGTTGCTAACAGAAGGTTCCAGCCTCCGATATCACATGAATATCCAGCCCCACCTGCATAGTCCCTGCTGGATAAAAATTAGATCTTTAGGTTAGTTTCTGGAAAGCTATTACCCATTCCAACTTCCTTGGAAAAAATTATGAAAAACCAAGAAACAGATGAGAGCTTTTTCACAGAATCACAGGATACCTAGCTTCAAAAGTTCCCAGAAATAACCCACTTCATTTCTTCTATTTTACAGTTATAAACTAACATCTAAAGAAGTAACTAATTTTAAATCAAATGTCTTTCTGGCAACTGAACTGAGATGAAAACCATATTCCTGGACTTTCTCCAGTTCATTACCATCTTTATCTCACATCAATACTTTCTATAGTTTTTGAAAAATATAGAATATCAGAAAGCATACTTGATTCATTATGTGTTCAAGAAGGTTTTCTAAATTATACTAATATATAAATATTGCATTTATTTTTGAAAAGGTGATTTTGCAATCCAGTAATTAATATAAAGATGTGGCTGCAAGATAATGACAGTTCTGTGAGGAAGGTGATAAAGAGTCTGCTTCAGTGCCCAGAACCTAGGGCCTTACCTCCGTTTTCAACTGAACAGTTGTGAATGTTTGATAGATCAGGAATTAAGATCAAACCAGGCTTTTCTTTTTGCAGAGCAACAGAAGGAATAGATGTGGCATTTGAAAGTACATGCAAGGTAGAGACTAAAATAACCATTTTATTCAAACTAAACAAAGATGAAGTACATGAGATGGGGAAAATCAACAAAAAGGCTCTTGACCTACAAAGATTGAGTATTTTCTGTAATTATTCTACTGGGGAAAATGAACTAGAAAGACAAGATACGGCAGTAATTACAATTCAGGGTGCTTAAAATGAAATTATGGAAAAGCTACAAATGATTATGTCTAAATTCTAACAGTGGAAGGAACTGGTTTTGGTAGGGAAGAAAACAAGATCTTTAGAGGAGGAAGTCAAAAAATAACAAGTTTTCTTTATGTAGCAATATTGAAACCATCAGGAATTGTGGCAAGAATAGTATAACTGAATAAGAGAGTGAGCCAGAGCCAAAATCTCCCAAAGATGAGGAGATGACATGATGTTAGTCAGTGGATGATTGCAAAAGAAGAAAGAGGGGAAAAAAGGAGATTGGTTAATACAGTCTGATGATGTAAAGCTTGAGTATGGGTATTTGTAGGCAGGAGAGAGAGAGAATTTTGCTGTACAAAGCAATAGTGGAAGAAAAGACCTTAACCATACCAGGCCTATGGGGGAAAGTGGTGAGAGAGAAAGCACTGATCACTCGAGAAGGCTGAAGAGAAAATGTCTTCAGAGACAGCTAAGCTTTGCCACCAACAGTCTATGGAATCTTGGAAAATGTACATAAACTCTTCAACCTTTCATTACTTAATTTGTTTAAAAAAATATTTCACAGGATTCTTGTGTTGAATAAGATAATGTATTATGATAATGTCAAGCACTGATTATAAAAATAAGTGTCCAACAATTGATTATCTCCTTGAAATAACTGCATCTTAATTTCTAATATAAAAATGAGAAACAAACATACCTATATTCATAGGAAATAAAATCATTACCTGTAGATGATTGCACCTCAATGATAACAACAAATTCCAAAGAATTGTTAGTGTAAAATAAGGCTATATTTATGACATTTGGAGTCTTTTGAGATATACTCCCTTGAGTACATTACTTGTTTGTAAAAATTCGTCTAGAAATCCATTGAGACAAAGAATACTACAGATATGCATGCTCATAAAAATATGTATTACCTAGAACCCCCTAGAAACTTCTTGTGCAAAAATGTGCATTTTGTGCATTTGTGTTTTAATAAAACTTCTTGATGAATTGCTAGAACTATTCTAACTATATTGGGACTTATAAAAATAAACAAGGGTATGGTATACCAGATATAATTTCAATTCAAATTAAAAATTATTCTGAAAAAATATAAATGCTTATATTCTTTGTACATCTCTAGATGATGCCACTTTTATTTTTCAGTTAAATTTTTATTTTGAGATCATTTTAGATTCACATGTAGTTGTAAGAAATAAGAATACAGAGAGGTCCCATATACTTTATACCTGTTTCCCCCCCCCCCCATGGAAACATCTTGAAAAACTATAGCACAATATCACAACCAGGATACTGACAGCTATACAGCCATGATACAGAACATTTCCAGCACCACAATCATCTCTCATGTTACTCTCTTATAGCCACAACTTAAGGCCCATTCCTATACCCTTCTTAACTTTAAGCATCTCCTAAAATGTTCTTCATTTATATAGTTTTGTTTTTTTTCTTTTTGAGACAGAGTCTTACTATGTCTCCCTCTGTAAAGTGCTATGGCATCACAACTCACAGCAACCTCTTTGGCTTAAAGTGCTATGGCATCACAACTCACAGCAAACTCTTTGGCTTAAGCAATTCTCTTGCGTCAGCCTCCCAAGTAGCTGAGACCACAGGTGCCCACCACAATGCCCAGCTAATTTTTTGTTGCAGTTGTTTTTAGCTGTTGTTTAGCTGGCCCAGGCTGGATTTGAACCTCTCAGCCTAGGTGTATGTGGCCAGCACCATAACCACTGTGCTATGTGTGCTAAGTGTTATTTATATAGTTTTATAATTTTAAGAATTGAACTTTTACTTAATATCCTGTTATGTCTCTAATAATTTCCTGTGCTCTAAATTTTACACTGATATTAATATAGTCAATTCAAAGGCTATATATTAATATAACCCTTTTCCTTTGATTAATGCTTATATGCTATATCTATTTTCTTTATTTTACTTTCAACTTGCCTATGTATTATTATACCTGAAGTGACTTTCTTGTAGACAACATAAAGTTTGGTCATGCTTTCTGGTCCACTTTGCTAGGTGAGGGCTCAGAAGGAGATGAGGAACATGCCTTTGGAAATTGGTGGGAAAGTGGTCTTTGTTATATGTATAGTGCCAGAGAGTCCAACTGAATTGTGTTCTACAGTTACATAGAAAGCAGAACTTGTAAGTTATAAGCTTGGATATTTACCTGAGTATATTTACAAGCAAATACTGAAGGTCCAGCCTGGTTTTTCTTACTCATTATATTAAGATGTGAGAGAATAGATCATTTAAAGGAAGAATTTTTAACCAAAAAGCAACCATGAATTGATTTGGGAAAATCTCAGTGTATTTAGACAGCAAAAGATGTTAAAATGTAAGATTCACTGTTAAGTAAGGATGCAAAAGAGAGCCAAAGGTGTGGCCAGACAACCAGCAATGTTTGCTAGTGTTGAAGAGATTAAGTGTATAGTTCATGAATCCTCTCAGTCAGTTAGCAGAAGTGAAGATTAAAGATAAGATTATCAAGGAAATATTTGTCAAGGACCCCTCTTGTCTAATAATGTAAATACTTATAACATATAAGGGAGACCCAAAAGATTTTCAGAAATGATATACTATCAAAAATGCACCAGTTTGGGCTTAAAGGGATAGAGGTAGAGTAAAATGAAGGCTGTTAGACTCCCAAAATTCTACAAACAGGAAAGAGGCTAACAAAACTACTCAGCTACAGATATATGCTACCCATCAAGAAAAGTGAACAAGTAACTCCAAGATCAAACCCTTGGCCTACAACCTGGAGTCCTGGATCTAAAATTCAGAACTATGGCATAGAGTATGGAGCAGTACACACAGAAAATATGACTTTCAGACCCAGGGCATGGAGCACAGGCTCACTGGTTATTATTCCTATGCTTTGAAACCTAGTCAGTTTACCCTGCTGAACTTCAAAATTGCTTGGGACTGATGACCTTTTCTTTCCTTTCATATTTCCCCTTTTACAATGGAAATGTCTATGACTATTACATCATTATGCCTGCATCATGACATTTGGGGAACAGATAACTTGTTTTCTAGTTTCATAGGTCCACACAGCAGGATAAGTTTTGTCCTAAGATGGATTATACACTGTGTCTCACCCATTCCTGATTTACATGATTTTGATAATAAGATTTGGTACTTTTACAATGATGATATTTAGATGATATTTTCAGCTTTAGTTGATGTTGTATTGGGTGGAGACTTTTGAGGATGTGGGGATAGAGTGAATGTATTTTACCAGTAGGACAGACATAAATCATAGAGAACCTGAGGGAAGACTGTACTAGTCTGAACAATGGCCCCCAAATATACCAACTGCCAATCTTTCAGACTCCAAAAGAACAATTTTCTGTAGATGTGTATGTGATCAAGCTAAGAATCTTAAGATGAAACAACTATACTGAATTATCTGGGTGG